GTGAATGAGGAGAGGACTCTCCCAAGGTTCCTTCTGCCTACAGCCCACAGCCCACAGCCGCCAACCTCCAGGCTCTGCGCCTCCTCGAACTTGATCAAATTAATCAAGTACAGTGGTCGCCTCCACGCTCCTTCCATTGCTCCTTCTTTTCTTCGTGCTGATTCAGCATTGTGGCTATCAAATCATGCGTGGGTCTGCAGACAATGAATGCACATAAAAATAATAATTGGAATTGGAAATGAAAACAATTTTCATGCGCTCCTCCACATGATGTGGCACAATACGCACGTGTACTCGATGTGTGTGTGTTGGCATCATAATTCCAATCCCAGTTGCAATTGTGTGTGCCGAACCCATACACTTTCTCACCTTTCCTGCTCCAGCTCGCAGCTATTCCCGTTTGCCCTTATGCGTTGCCCTCTGGCCCAATTATCAGCCCAAAGAACTGGCGGGAAGAACGGGCAGCCAAATCGAGTGTGGGGCTATTTCAATGCTCTGCGAAAGTCAGTCGAGCCCGTAATGCGCTTATCAGTGTCACCCACACTCACACACTTCCTTTGCATATGCATGAGCATTCCATGAGCGAGAGCGAGCGCCATGTGGCATTTACGTAATGCTCGTACATCAGGCTGGGAGCCTGGGGGCACCCATGCGGCGTATGGGCAATGTTTGTGTAACAGTCTTGCACTTAGCAAGTGCTTACTTCCCAGCTAGAACTAGCAGCCGGCAGTAGTAGGGAGAGTGGGAAAACGATTAAGAAAAGGATACAACGAGCATGCCCACAACTTTCGGGTGGGGAATGTTGGGCAGGTCTTCAGTTGTCCCTCCAGCCATAAAGATCACTGGATCCAAGTGCCATGCAGATTCACAGTCCCGCCCAACATGTGCCCGGGGCACACACAATGCAAAAAGCGTAGGCAATAAAATGAAATTTTATGCCACATTTTCGCAGTGCAGGAGGCAAGATTGGGCCCTAAAAAAATATGTACTACATGTACATGTAACATGTAACATGTATATGTATATGTATATGTATATGTATATGTTACCTTTGGCTCGATCTCGGCCCCAGGCGGCCTCGTTGCATTCCTGCAAACCGAAAACCGAAAACCGAAAACCGACACACACACATTTACACATGTAAGTGCATAAAAAATGTTTATGAATTTCAGTTTATGGCGCGTAAAACACGCCAATAAATGTACCAAGGTATTAAAAACGCCTTTCCCCTCACGCCCCACGCGCCCACCCGTTGGACTTTGCCGCACTAATAAACAATCAGGAATGGGTCTAAAGTATAGGGGCCAAACGGCAAACGACAACGGGGTATTCCCCCATATTTTATTTCATTTTTTGTTCTTTTCCCTTTCCTGTTTTGTTGTGTTGTTTTTTGTTTCGTTTCTTGCTGGCTCTTTGCTGCCAGAAGGTGTTAGGCGGCCCCCGTTGGCGCAGTTCTTGTGGGCGCATGAATATTTATTCCCAAAAAGAATATTCATACATAAATATGTATATGCAAATACATACATTCGGTCCTTTGGATACTCCTTGTATTTGTTACTCGTTCGGCCTAATGCAATTTACGACACTTACGAGGAGGAGGAGCGACCAGAGCACATGTAAATTATGCCAAATTGATGCCAGCACACATATGCGACTTGTCTCCGTCTCCGTGTCCGTCTCCGTGTCCGTCTCCGTGTCCGTCTGCAAACGTGACAGATTATGGGGAAATCTCTTTGATAGATGCTCGAACCCGTACATAGTTCGAGTTTATTGCTTTGCTTTCATAACAAGAATTGGCTGTTTATTGCTTTGCGCTCTGGTTTAAGCTGAGCTGTGACTGTTCTCTAGCGGCCTTGAGCGGCCCACAAATGGCACTCTTTTTCTTCCACTCTTTTCGGAAACTCTAATGAAAGCCCCGGACAATGTTCTGTGTCCAGTTTCTGCGTGCTCCTGCATGTGCTGGGGCTTGTCGGGACTGGGCTGCCTCTTCTAGCATTCAAATGGGCTTCTTTTTTTGCTCATGTCTCTCCCCACTATGCAAATCGCGTGGGCGGCAGTGTCGGCTTGCCCTGGGACGCATCCCCTTCTTAGCAGTCGCTGCCCATTCCCGCATGCTCTGTGTTTTTGGTCTGTTTTCTCTCCTCTGCTTCTTTTTTTGAGTACTTAACGCCACGAGGAATCGCCCGAGACAACTGAAGCGCAAAAAATGCGAAAAACATGCAGGGAACGAGGAGGAGGAGCAGCAGGGGAAGTGCCGGGGGAGTGGGAGAACGGGTGCCGGCGCGTGTAATCAAAGTGTTTGGCTATCAAAGATTCAGCGGCTCCTTCTGCTTGTCGGGCCTGCCGGGCTGTGAGAAAAAGTTATGCATAAATTTTGGACATCATCTCAGCTCGAGGTTGGCCGAACCTTTTGCCAGGCTTTGGCCCCACTGCCAAAATCAATACCGGAAGCAAATTAGTTTCGTCTTCAAAAATAAAATCAGTCAACAGTCGCCACAAAAGCTGGCGAAATGCATATAAAAAACCTATATACATAGTACATACTTATGTACATATATGTGATGTAGTGGCCTGTTCCAGCGATCCTAAGTGACATTGTTTGCTGCTTGCCGAGAGCACGAGAGCCTAACAATAGCCGCACATCAAATTTTATTGGCACGAGCGTAACACTTCAATTGGGGTCATGCTCTATGATGCCTCCGAGCGGTACGGGGCCCAATCCGCTTTAGTAGACATCGGCCGGAGGCTGAGGCCATACCCAGTACCAGCCGTGGATAACAGATTTGGGTCACAGAGAGGTGCAGCCGTGCTTTCAACACAATATCTACGTACATGTGTACATATGTAATTATGTACATGAATTTCAAGATCCACACCACAAACATTTACTTTACTTTTACTACGCCAAATCTTCATATGTAATTCCAAAGCCAACGCTTGTATTGATTCTATTTCCCCATATTTGGGATTCATAGTGGTTTCCACCAAGTGTATCTGGTGCTAGAATAATGTTACGAAACGGTACCAATGGCGCTTAAAGTATTACCCTAGAATACCCCTTGCTGGGCGTTCTTCGATTTGTTAGCCACTTCATACGTTTCGTCGATTTTCACTCCGATTTTGTTGCGGCTTTTTGCAGGGCACTTTCTTGTTACGGTCTTGAAATGTTGTTTGAAGCATTTTGAAGGTAAGCGATGAGGTTCTGCACGCTCACGTGAATGTTTCCATTGAGTTTTGTGTCCTTGTGGTAGGGACACTTGGGATCGCAAACAAATCGCTGCAGGAGTCGGCCCGATGTTTGAGCCAATGAACTCTTCCGCAATTAGGATTCGAGCAGCAGACTCTGCTCCAGCTTTTTGGCCAGTAAGCCCAACGATGAAGGATACTGAACCTATTTATTGAGGAATTCCAGAAGCAAGTAGGCAAATGAATAGACGACAAAATAGTCGAACCATCCGTGTCGGAGTACAGCAGCCACCTTTTACTAGTACCAAAGAGAGCCCTTCCGGGCACAGAACAGAACAAATGGCGATTAGTAGTTGACTATCAGATGACAAGAAATATGACGCCATCAGAAACTATCCAGTCCCGCAAGACGCGGACAGCGCTAGACGATTCGTGGCATATTCCCGGCCCATAACTAGATTATGTAAAAAGAATGTTCCATTTGAGTGGTCAGATGAATGTCAAAATGCATTCCAATACCTGAAAGATAGCTTCCAGATTTTGAAAAAGAATTGTGCATAATTAAAGATGAAAACGGATCACAGACCACTGACATAAGTTCCTATTTTCAATGGTCAATCCTAGCTCAAAACCCAGAGGAATACGACTCTACAGTCGAGTATCTAAAGGGTAAAGACAATTTCGTGGCAGATGCACTGTCACGAATAACAATAAAGGAATTGAAAAACAAGACAAGACAGCAAGAAGAAAATATCTTCTCAAAAAATGGCCAATAAAACATTACGAACATTAAGAGTAGCGCTACTCAACCCGGCATTAAAAAAGCAAGGATTATGCTCAAGTTCTATTAGAAAACGAATCAGGACATAAGCTAGATTCTAAATATACAGTAGAAAACATGGGGGAAAGAGATAACATCACAATCTCTGATGGTAGGAAAAAAGAAACAAAAAGTGCATAACATTTTTAATCCTTAAACATTTGTATTTTATAACATTTGAAATTTAATTTGAAACTTAGCAAAATGAATTCAAATTCAATAATTCAATTCATGAACGAGTAAAAATGCACAAAGAAGGAACAAAAAGAACAAAATCCATCCATACCATCAATTTCAGTACATTTTTCCATTGAAACAATACAGAATAATACGAATTAGTTTTCATTTTTAAATAACTTCATAGATTACGTTATTTTTCAAAGGGAGGCAGATGGGGCATGCACACATAGGCAATACCCAGTGTCCACTCAACGTGCAACCCAATAAAAATATTAAACAAAAACCTTTGAAACAAATTGTGCAATTCAATCCATGTAGAAATGTACCAACAAAGCACATAATCAATATGTATTTAACATACAAAAATGTGCTTATGTACATCTGAATACTGATACCCGTCGGAGTGCCGATGACACTTGATCGGATTATGANATGGTTGTAGATATGTTGTGTGTTTTGTGTAGGGGGGTGGGAGTGTTGTTTGGGTTTTTTTTTTGTTTTTTTTTCGGAGTAGGTTTTGGGGTGGGGGGGGGGGGGGGGGGGGGGGGGGGGGGGTGTAACTCAATTTGGGGCGAAACTCATTTGTCGCCGTGACGAAAGAGGCGAAGCTGCCGCCGTTTCTGTTCCAATTGGATCAATTGTCTTGCTCTCGCTCCAATTGGATTTCCGTGTGTGTGTTCGAGTATGTTGCTTGCGCGTTTTCTTGCGCGCTTCCTAGCGCTCTTTCTGTTTCTGCTTCCCCTTCGCCTTCCCATTCCACTTCCACTTCTAGTTGCTCATTGTGCTCATTCTCTTGTTCTTGTTTATTTTACAGTTACGTGTGGAGGAGGGCGACTCCCTGGCTGCGTGCAGGAGAGGGAGACGGCAATAAGAGTGAAGCTGGCAAATTCTCACACAAAATGCGTCGACTAAGCAGCAGCAGCAGCAGTAGCAGCAGCAGCAGTCTTATAATCAACAAAAAACAACAGCAACAACAGCTGCTGGAGGTGAAGGAGCAGCAGCAGCAAAAGCAGGCCCTAGCAGAGCAGCGACCGAGGCAGAAGCAGAATCAGCAGCAGCAGCAGCAGCCGAAGGCAGTGAAAGAGCAACGAAAGCAGCAACAAAATCAAAGGTTAATCCCGGGCCCACGCTGCCCACTGCTGCCGCTGCCGCTGCCGCTGCTGCTGCTGCTAATGCTGCTAATTGTTGGCCAAGCAGTTTACGGTAAGTGCTACGCAAGAGTGGGAGAGCGGGAGAGCGAGAGAGCTGGAGCACGGTTAGGAGTGCGTGTGTGCGGGGCAGAGGAGGGAGGGCGTGTACATACATTTATTTATACAGGGTGAGTTTGCTGGCACTGTGCCTTGGGATACTACAAACAGCCAGGCTAAGGTGCAGCTGTGGCTCTACTTTTAAGATCATTTGCTCCAACTAAACTTATTTCCTATCAAACCAGAGAGGGCATAGAGATAGGTCTAGCTCTAGCATCTTTATGCATGTTGGCTGGTGGTGGTGGTGGTGGGACAAGAAAACATGACCGGAATGGCCAGTGGCCCTCTGTGACCTCATTAGAGGTTCATTTGTTTCCCTATTTATGCAGACACACCGATACACACTGAGATGAACACTAAGCACACACAAATGTATGCGTGTATGCGTGTATATTGGATCATCCAATCCATAGCCCCTGTGCTACCAATTGCTGCCACAAGTCGAATGCATTGCGCGCGTGTGTTCCCTTTTATCCATACAAATTCGAACTCTGCTGGTATAAATATTGCCCCAAATTGTATGCTACACAGAAGACAGAAGACTATACATTATATGTATGTACACTGTACATATATGTACATTGACTTTCGCGTGAGAGCAGGGCATGGGCTGCGTACGTTTTTTGCCTGTAATTAATTGACTCGCACATTTTTCGCATTGAGAACAAAAAGCGCAAAAAAAAAAAAGCAGAAGCAAGTCAGGGAAAAACTTTAGCCCAGACATTTGCAATGTTTTTTCCATGCATGTGCCTAACAGTCTGTATGTGTGTGTGTGTGTGTGTGTGTGTGTGTGTGTGCCTTAGAGTACGTGTAACGACAGTTGGCCGGGATGCACTGCAGTCAAGGTCGCTGGAGCGCGCTGCCATTCGGCTTGTGCTTTTTTATGCTCTCGCGTTTGTGGCAGTCGGCCAAGTTGGTCAACATGGCTCAACACACACACGCACACACACACACACACACATGCACTCGAAAAAAAAGGAGAGCCGAACCAACAAATTCAAGAATGCCAGAAGTGTCCTTCGAGAACTATCAGCTGTCGAATAATCGTATGCGAAGCCTTCAGCTACAATTGGCATATGGCTGTGGCAGCCTAAGCAACTCACTTGCCTTAACTCCCACTAAGCAAGCTGCTATCTAGCTCCTCCAACTGTGGTTTTAACCATTATCAAATCGAAGAGTATAGTGTCCCATGACCATTTTGCAATTCTACTTTTTTCTTCAAGTGTGCGAACAGGTACACACATATGTACCTGTACAAACGATTATGCCCTTTGTGTTCAATGGAAGTTGTGAGGCAACTTAATTTGTTGGCTGTTGGATTGCTCCACTTAAAGTCCACCGCCAGTCGATTCGATGCACAACACAAGTGCTTTCAATTGTTATCGATGAGTCAATTGGGCTTGATTGCGGCACTCGGTACTTACCATACGGCATGCCATCGATATGCTTACTTTGGTCTCGTATTTGCCATTAGCATTCACGATGTACATAAGCCCTTCCCTCATGAAGCAATAGTCTGCTTTTGTCCCTTGTCTGGCTGGCTAAATGTTTCATTAATTGATTAATCCAAGCACATTTGACATTGCACTCAAAATAGACTTGCCAGCGGTGAATAAATATTTACTGATGCCTGTTTAGGCACTCCTCTGATCTACGCTACCGAAAGATACCCTTGAAATTGATTACCAATTTCAAACATCCACTTTACTGTGACATTGCCAGTGGGCGTCCATTGTGTGCTCCTGTTAACCTGTTCTTTGATGTGGGGAGGCAAACGACAGTTGTGGCTCCTAATTTGCCAGTCAATATGGAAAAGGTTACTGGTAACCCGAATTCGCCCGAGAGCGAACACAAAGTAGACAAAGGCAAAAGAGATCAAAAAGGTCTCAGATGTAAGACTCGTTGACAGAGGGACGTTGGCATGTGGCCACGTGCAGAGCCAGAGAAATCCATATAATGTTGCCTTAATTTCGGGGATAATAATTTCACTAATCTCCGATTCTGGCACCGCTTCTGCTCGCCTGGTCGGACCAAAGTGGTGGAGGCAGCTGCGTACGGTCCATCCGTAATTGTAATTTAATGCAGGCACAAAATGTGACCCCGCACAATATGGAGGCGAACCGGAAGTTGGCTCTAGCCCACACACACACACACACACACACACACACGCATCCGTAGTCATCCGTAAGCAAACTCAGCCGATGGCTACACAGATTGCTTCCTTCGTGCCCAAAACTCGCCAGTGGAAGGTAGCAGGGATTGTATTGGACAAGAGGCAGCTCAAAAAGCTGGAAATTTATTCAGCTTTGGTTGCTCTAGGAACAGCCTTAGAAAGCCTTAGAAATGATGCAGCTGAAAGGGTATCATTAATGCGTTTCCCTTCCCTGTTGGCGCCAACAATTGAATAATTTTGACATGAAAAATGGCACAAAAGATTGGACTGTTCGAGCCGAGGGCTCTCGGTCCGAGTGTCACTCATGCCAATCAAGTGGAAATATTTTGCAAATGCGAAACTCACAGAGCATCAAATCGTTCACAGCTTGGACAAGGGTCCACCTTAAAGAGAATAAACTGCAAATATTATAAATGAAATGCCGTTTAATGTATGGGATTCCACAGCATTTTCATTGTAGTGTTATTGGATTTTGTGGCCAAATCGAATTTCATTGCACAATAAACGGACTACGGATCTGCCAAAGCCATAATGTGGAGGCGGTTCTGGGGCTTTGGTCAGCCCAAGAAGGTATACTTGGGGCGGGATATACTTGGGGGTTGCTTTTATTTATTTGAAATTAGAAACTGCCAACTGCTCCCAAAAGTGGCCATTAATTAAGGGCTATGAACGTCTGTAGGTTGTCCGCTGGGAGAGCAGCTTCTGGGGATTGTGTAATGACTGCAAAATGCTTACAAATAGCCATTTAGGAATTTTGAGCTGCCAGCCAGGCAGCCAGGCAGCCAGCCTTGCCAGAAGGACAGAGAACCGACGGAGCTCCGAGAGGACAAATGGGAGTGGATTGTCAGAGCTGGATTTGTAAATGATGGTCTCACCTTTTCCCCTGGAATGCGCTTGAGCCGTCCCCAAACAAATGACAATCAATTTGGCACAATTGTTTCGTATACCAGAAGGTGGTGGTCATCGTTCTCCACTGCCAAATCTGATCTAAAAATATGTACAAGTCCACTCAATAAAAGGACAACCATCAGTCGTGGGTCGTCGTGGGAGGTTCTTTAGGCAGGACTACTCGACTATTGTTGATGTTTGGCTAATTGAGTATTTATCTCAAATGTAAATAAAACAACTAACCTTTTGCCTCCGACATTCAGCCGTATTTTGATTGCATTTCGCTCACATCATTCTAGTTTATAGTTTAAGCTTCTCTATAAACTCTTTAAGCCTGTCTCAGTTGTTTGCCTTGTGTGCGCATATATTTGATGAATATTCCTAAAATACTTTACAAACTCTAATCCGCTTATATTTTATTCAAAACTGAACGATTATTTATGAATGAATGTTTGGCATACATATTTATGCACATATACCTCGTGCCCCTTCCGGGGGCCGGGGGCCACTTCCTAACTGGCAAATATTTGTTTGCCTTTTCTTTTTGTTTTGTACGATTTCTTTTCATAATGAAATTGAAGCAGATCTGGCAAATGTTAGCTTAAAGCGCTTTTCATGCTTCTGTCACGGCCCGTCGCATTTGGCCATTTTCTCCAAATGTTAGCTGACCCAATTGTGGACGCTTTGCCCGCAGGCCACCAGCCCTTCTCTCTCTCTCGCTCTCCCTCTCTGTCACTGTCTCTGTCTCGGTCTCTCTCCCCCAGTTGAGGGCAAGGAATTGGCTTTGGTTTTGGCTCTATTCAACATTAGCTAATTTGTGTGCACTTCTTGTTCCCTTTATTTGTTTTTGGGTTTCGTTTCGCTTAACTCATTTTTTCTTTCTTTCATTCCTTCTTTTTGTTTTTTGTGTGTTTCCTCTAATTTCTGCATCTTGCACTTTGTCGTGCCCTTGCCTCCTTCATTTTCTGTCACCACTTTCTTTTTTTTTTTTTTTAGCATTTTTACACTTTCCTCTTGTTTTGGTCATTGGACTTAAGTGCCATCCTTGATTGTTCTTGCTCCTCCTGCCATGACTCCAGCTCTGCTTTAGCAGCTTCTCCTTCTCCTTCTGCTCCTGCTGACTGTCTTGACACTGATTTCAATTATAAATTTTGTTGTTTTGTGTGTGTCAGATCCTCCTTTTCTCTCTCGTTTCCTCCTTTCGCGTCCATTCCATAACTTGTGTGGCACCCGTGAGCTTTTTTCCCATACAGCAATTGCTTTCGCTATCGCTTTTAATCTAAGTTTGGGAACAAAGCCCGGCCACCTCGCATCTCCTTTGCTCCTGGCTCACCTCTTACTCGCTCTGCTCTTGGGGGATCCATAGCCTGCCCTCTTGTCCGCTTGCCAGCTTGCGAGTTGAGCTCTGTGCGGTGGCATTTAAAACTTTATAAACAATGCCTGTGAATATGCGAAACTAATACTAAGATTATGCATTCTGTCTGCTTAACCCTCGACCAAAGGTAATTGGCCAAGTATTCGCAGCTTCGTCTTACCTCGTGTACCCATAAATGGCTTTGCTCTGCAGCTGTTCTCCTTCCATTCTCTTGTTTCTGATGTGGTAATCCAAGCGTCCATTAGCCCTGTCCAAGTGCATTTTATTTAACAATTTCGAGGCAAAAGGGATGCCTTAGGATAAGAGGTACACACCTTGGCGATGGAGAGCGATTTTTGTGAGATTTTGTAACTCCATATTGTAAGTATCTCTCCGCTGAGATCCTGTCCGCCTGCTGGATGGTCAAGGAATCTTTCTCCCACTTTCAGGCTGTTTTCCAAACATCGACCTACTTAGCCATATTTGAATAAGCGGAACTCTAATATTTTTTCATGCTCTTTCTGTCACATTTTGCGGGCATTGTTCGCCTGCGCTTTTCATTCGCATTCTCAATTTCTCAATTTCTCAATTTCTGCTCCCGGTGGCAGTTCCCCTTCCCTCTACCCTCCTCTATGCACCGTCTTCTGTTGCCCATGTCCTCACTCTGCCCCACGGATCTGAGTGAAAATGCAGTCAACCCTAATCAAATTTTCGCTGCAAATTGACAGTTTGCCTGCAGATTTTCATTTCGCGTTTTCATACCGCCCACTAAGCACGCACCGCCAGCTGGGGGGGGGGGGGGGGGGGGGGGGGGGTGGTGGTGCCACCCAGTGGCAGAGTTTCGATGCAGAGGTAGCATGCCTCGGTTAAAGAGTTCCGTTCGTGCTCGGTGTGCAGCTTTTTGCACTGGCTTCGTTTTGGTTCCGTTTCTGGTTCGACGTGCGCTCCCTCTTCCTGCCCCACTTGCCTGCCACTTGTGCGCCCCAGGGGCATGCAAATCGTGCGGCAGGTGCTCTGGACAGGGGACAGGGGACAGGTGGGCCATAGCCATAGTACGCTGATTTAATTTTAAATCTCTTTCTGGCCGTTCCTTTTGCGCTTGAGCTTTCGCTCAAAATTAAAATGACGTGAAGGCTTGAGGTTGTCCCGCCACTGCAGCCTCCGCCAGCACCGCAGCACTGCCCTGGCAGGTTAATAGATCATCTAGTGGGTGGCAAAATGTACGGCCAGGGATTACAGCAGGGATTACAGTATCCAGCTGCACCCTTCGTTGCTCTCAATTTGCCTGTCACAATTCAATTGTCAGGCATTTCATTTCCATTTAACCATTTTGAATTTTCTTCCTCCCGCAGCAACTTTGCTGCCAGCACCCAGTTCCCATTACCAGACCTACATACATGTCTGCTTTGTTGTACTCACGACAGCGGCAAATTAATCTCTGGCATGTCAGTCACTCAGCCAGCCAGTCAGTCAGTCAGTCAGTCATTTTGTTTGGCTTGACATACTTATTGTCTCCGACTTCCGACTTATGCCGAGTGAGTCAGTGGCGGGCGGGGAGTGAGCACAAATATTTTGTTTGCATTTGCCCAACATTTTGACGGTTCCCATTGGACATGGACACCCCACCCCAGCCCCGCTGCCAGCCATCAGTTGCACAAATTCAATTCGCAATTCGAGTAAAAAGTCGATGGCAAACAATGAAAGGCAAATGTGGGTTAAGCTGCACTCGCAAAAATTGCCCAAAACGATCAAATTTGCCAAAATGTTAAAACGGTTTTCACACGCTCCATTTGTATATGGATTTACGCAGACATATTCGAGTATATATGTAAGAGGGCTAGCTCAGCGCATGAAGCAACTATAAAGGAGGACTCGTCGTCGGCAGCGTTCCTCAGGCCATTTCCCCCCGAGCACAGTGCTTCAGGCGCACACTCCATTGTCGCTTCACTGACACTTATTGACAGCATGGTTAGGTTTCCCTCAAAAAAGCCGACGGGCCCTCCTTTATAGTTGCTTCATGGCTCTGCGTACAAGCGCGGACCCACCCCAAGAGAGCAGAGAGAAGCTAGCACAGGTCAAAGAGGAGATCGCGAGAACGAGAGAGCGTGGAAGCGTGGAAGCGTCATAGCACAGAGAGATAGAGAGAGAGAGAGCTGTCAGGCGTCAAGTTGTGCAGTCGTGTTTTGTCGTAGTTGAATAAGCCGTTGAATTTAACTTATACTCATACTTAAATAAACTATTATTTTAATAAACTTATCCTACATATATATAGCTGGTATATATGTGCAGTTTCTGTGTGCAAATATTTTAGATGTGCCGCAAAATGGATTTTCCATGCCAAACGTTTTCCAGTTCCCTTTTCCCTCAAGCGGCGATCTTTGCGGAGCAAACAAAAGTGAAAGTGTGCAATGAATTTGTATGAATTCAGCTAGGGAAATGAAAGGAAATATTAATTTAGTTTGATTTAGATGCAAAAATGCGATGCATGTTCAAAGTGTGTGAAGTTTGAGTTGAAATCAAACATTAGGCCGTGGGCGGGGTGACATGTCCGCTGTGGTCGCACAATTTCCATCCAGATGAGCCGAAAATGTTGTAATAGAGCGGAATTGTCAGCCCTGTTGGTGGTGGGTGGCTGCCTGTTTAGGGACAAAAAATGTCACAAAAGGGAAGGTGAGGTGAGGTGAGGTGAGTGGAATGCATAGTTGATGATTGGGTTTTCCTCTGCCCCATTGAACTGCATAAACCAACAATTAGAAGCTGCTTCCAGTTTTATTTACTTCCCGCGGAAGGGGTGTGGGTAATGAGCATTGTAGAGCGAGGGAGGGTTGCGGTGTGTCCAACACATAAACTCTCTCTCTCGGGGGCACGAGGCACAAGGCATGGCGTGCATCTTTTGTTGCCGCTGCTGCCATGTTTTATTGCTAATTGCAACTTCAGGTGGCATTGTGGCTTCTGCTTCGACAGCATCCCATCTGTTTGGGCAAACAGCGTCGCCATGCCCCTCGGGTGGCATCTCGCTCTCTGCGAGTGTCTTTATCTTGTGGCAGTGTGTTTGTTTGTGGCACAAAAATAATAAAACTGATTTTATTTATGTGCTGCGCCAGACCCAAAATTGAAATTCTGCAACACGAGCAAAGCGTTGCATGTGGCATGGTGGATGTGTGGCCAAAAAGTGCTTGCCAAATACACATCGCGCCTCTGTCCCGTCCCTCCAGCTGGGTGTAAGCTCTTCCTTGCTTATTGTTATCCGAGTGTAGAGAGGATCCTTTAGCCGCATATTTATGCCCACGCCCAAGGCAGGACCATTTCGATATGTTCCTTTCTGCTTACGGCCCGCAAGCAATGGCCTGCCAAAAGTTTGCCATTTGGGGAATGGTGAACGCGGGCACGAGGCATGACTCCATGCGGATCTCACGGCTGCACATATTTTGTGCGGACACAATATGGAAGCGGAAGCTCTTCATTCATTCGATCCATCAATCACATTCCTTTGTATTCCACTCTCAATGGCCATTCGCATTTACATTCACAAATTGCAATAATCATCCGCCTTCAGTGACTGCCTCTCTCTCTCTTTCGCTCTGTTGCCCTGTTTTAGCCACATTTACTGCTGCATTTTCCAATGTTAATTGCGCGCTATGGCAGAACCAAAAGCAGTAGCATTTTCCACATTCCTCTCTGGCATGGTGGCATTTGGGGGGGAATTTCCCGCAGAAGCCCGACGCTAACACCGGCTTTACATCCCCTCGATGCCTCTCTTTGCTGCTCGACAACCACTTGGCTGCGTTGCCATAGATCCTCGTAATCCCCCCTTTAAAGCGAATGGAGGAAAGCGCTTCCAATATGAAACTCCAAATTGCTGGCACTGCCAAAGGCAAAAGCAAATGCAAAAGCAAAAGCAAATGCAAAAGCAAAAGCTTTAAATATTCATTATTCATTTTATGCGCTGTATTAATTAACGCTGCCAGCGACAATTACCCAAAGTTTCCTGGCTTACAAATATGAAAGCAGTTACCATGGGAGTTTATGTCCATTCATCAAAGTCACTGTCCCCCAGTCTTTGGGTATTAATTTTATGAAAACACAAGTGGTATTGTCCACGTTTCTGTTTACGTAATTGTTTTCCAAATGTACAAAGGAGCAGCAGCTTAGGGGCACAGCAAACAAGAGCAGTACCACATTAACAGAAGCAATAACAGACGCAGCCATAGCAGATGCTTAACAGCAACAGATGGACAACAGATCGAAAGCACTTAACAGCAGACACAATATTAACAGAAGCCGTTAACAGCAGCAACTGCAGAGAAGCAGAGGAATAACAGCCACAGCAAGCAGTAGCAGAAAGCAGTAACAGCAAGCAGTAACAGCAAGCAGTAGCAGAATTTTATAATAATTTTAACATCTTGCAATGATCCTCAATTTACTCTATTCGCTTCTCTCAGGTGGCAGCATAATTACTCAAAATTTAATATGGATTATTGTGTGGAAAGATCTGTTACCTCAATCAGTCGGGCAGTCGGGCAGCCATCAGATGGTCGCCAGGGCATTCCACTTGAAGCGGCGATTCTTGGAGTGAGTCACAGGCAGGCACTCGGGGTCGACCAGCTTCCAGACGCCATTCACCTGCTCCACGGTGGCCAGACTGCAGTAGGGGATCTTGTGCATAACCTGAAACAGCTCGTGGCTGCTCCGCGGAGAGCCGCCAGTCAACTGGCGGGTGCAGGTGTCCAGTGTCGTTGCATGGGCCACCACCAGGCTGTTGCCAGCTGCAAGAAAGCGCAAATACAAAGACCGAAACCATCAGCTCCATGCCATGGGACATACTTGTGCGCTCCAGCAGCTGCAGCAGGACGTCATGGTTGCGCGTATAGAACTGCTCTGTGGACTCCTTCAGGCGGGTGCTCAGCTGCCCCGAAGCCTGAACGGGCTGATAGTTCAAGTCGATGTTGTAGCTGGCCTCAACCAGCTCATTTTTGGTCAGCCAGTCGGGCACACCGCTGGGGTACCAGCCCATCCACTCGAAGAATCCCGGCTCCAGCTTGATCTTGTGCTGTCCGCCCTGCTGCAGGCCCTCCAGGGCACTGGCGCACGTCTGAATGCAGCGATAGGCGGGCGAGCAGTAGACGTGATCGACCTGCACCTTTGCCTCCAGCAGCGCCTGGCCGATGAGGTTGGCCTGAAAGACACCCACATTGGTCAGCGGCGAATCGTTCTGCCAGCCCCTGGGGCTGTACCTGCGACGCGGCAGCCGCTTGGGCATATTGAGGTCCTGCCGCATGTAGTTGCCAAACTCATCGAAGCAATAGGGCAGCCACGTGCCAAAAGTAAAGTCCACTCGCTCCCCATGTCGCATGATGTACACCTTGCGGTTCACCGCCGCGGAACCCTGCACGAGGCTCTCGTCCACCTCCTGCTCGGCCATCGGTGCGGAGTACGCTGACATGCTGCTGGAAGTCTCACTGTGGCCTGCGTCTCTGTGCTGAATAATTTCGGAATGTGCTGCTAAACAAAGCTAATGACAAATAGGTACAGCTTTGCCTGGGAAGCAGTGATGAGAGGGAGACTCGATCAACTAGAGCCAACAATTGGCAAGAGACTTTCCATTGAGAGGTACACAGTATCTCCCTCTGTTGGGATATTTTGAATCCAAAGATCTTACTTGCTTTCACTCGATGGAGCTGAGACTTTGCTGGGAATTGGCTCTGCTAGTTGCCCGAATCAATTTGCTGCCTGCTCGCAGCTGCTCGAGTGTGGAAGTGAGTGAGTCCCGCCGGGGGGCCCAGCCACTTGCTCAATGGTAAAGCAATGTGCAGACTGTTTGCCCACTCAATTATGGATTGTCGTATTTACCCAGTTCGAGGCCACAGTCCCATTGGATGTCAATGTCCTGCGGGCTAAAAGATTAATGCATGCTGGCAGGGCAGCGCTCTGCGTAAACATTTAATTTATTCAATAGAGTTTTCTAATTTTCAAAGCTCTTTCTGTTGCCGTTGCCGTTGCCGTTGCTGTGGCTGTGCGGCAGTCGGCTTCCAGCAATTAGTTAATCATGAGAAAATTATGTGCTTTGTGAATGCAGCTCCAAAACGGAGCCCGGCCCCCAGTTGTCAGACGAAAATTGTAATGCAAACTGTAAATTATTATGTACTTAGTTGCATTTTGCAGACTTTTGCGACTGCCATCGCCAGCAGGTCCTTCGCCCGCACTTGCCAGCAAAACTGGCTGTTTTAGCCTTTTCTCGCCACGCTGGCACAGACAATACAAAACGAAATAAATAAATATGCGCAGTCACAGACAAAGTCACAGTCACAGTCACAATCACAATCAGAGTTGCAATTATGCCCAAAGGCGCACAGTGGTTGGCAGCCAAATGAAGTCTAAACTGAACCGTTCTGTGTGTCAATTCATTGATGTGGAATTAATGCGTTTTCAGTGAATTTAGAGGCAACATTTAGTTACTTGCAACATGCTCAAAGGGGCTAAGTATCATGGGAGCGTGTGTAATTCATTTTGGTGCCATTAGCAGCCACTGTGCCGGACTCGTTCCACGAGCTGGAATGAAATATTTTTG